GTTCGTACGGCAGCACGGCCACGGTGGCCGCGCCTTTGGCGGAACGATACGTGGAGCATCGCCTCAGCCCCGGGGACACCCTGCCTGGCCTTGCGCTCAAGTACGGCGTGACGGTAAGCGGGGAGGGGGCTGGCGCGGGAGCCCCACGCGGCCACGGCCTCGATTCCGCTAACTTGGCCCGAGAGGAGTCGCGCTGTCGGCCGGGGGGCGCGTGCGCGTGTTAGAGGGCGCCCCCCCGTTGCCCCAGGAACTTTGGGGGTTCTAGGGTGGCATGCAATTTTGCCCAAGAAGCGCGCCAGAGTGGAGATAAAAAAGTATTTATAATTTCCAGAGCAGGCACACATGTGTCAGTCGACACAACTTTTACACATTCTTGAAACAAAGAATTACATGATGATTGGCAGGCAGTAATTATTCACACCCTTGGGTGGGCAAAACACTCCCAAAAAGTGGACACTGCTGCCCAAAGGTGGGCGCTTGTTGTCGCTAAGGGAAATACAAGCTAGGCGGAGGCTTCTTTCTCTGCTTGTTAGCGCAGGTGAGCGCAGCGATTCCTCCGGGGGGCGGGTCCACGGTACTCGCACTTTTCAGCTCTGATAAGAAATGCTGTATTCAAAGAGAGAGGAATTTGGACCGGTTTGCAGCTTAATCATCTACTCTGTTCCCAGCAGCTAGTGAAGGTCAGTTTGGGGCCATACATGATGTTTCTGCTGCCTTCTTCAAATTAACCCTAAAATTAGCATTCCATCGCCTCCACGAGCATGGGCACCGTCCTTTGGGACAGGGGTTCTGCAGCTGAAACGAGGGAATGTGAACCTTTCTCGGATCTCCAGCCAGTAATCTCTGCTGGATTCTTCGGCCTCCGACAAAAAAGCGTTTCTGGATGACAAGCCATATACTTTTTTTCCCCACCTCCGATTAACTGGAGGAATTTGCTGGAGGAGGAGAGAGGGTTTCTGTCCTCATCCTGAGTGCTTTCCACTGGAATCATTGCAACCAACCTGGCATCTCTTTTTGAGCCAAGGCAGTTTATATACTACTTTTTCTCTGAAGAGCTCAAGCCTTTATCCCATGTTTTATCCTCACAACAACAGCTCTCGCAATAGATTGTGTTGTGTGCCTTCTTTGTTTCCCTATCTATGTATTAAAGGCAGGTATTAAAGATCAGGGCTCTTCCTTTTTTGTCCACCAGTGACTTTCTGTACTTATTTCATCCTCTTATTTGGGTGTCTTGTTGTTTTTTTCACTGCCAGATGGGCTTGGGTGAGGGTTATTGATCAATGATTGACAGTTATATACCTACACCATAGTCCCAACAAAGATATTGTACCAATTTGATCACATTCACTGTGGGCAAAACTTTTAGGACATGAGATTTTAACTAGTGGCAGGCAAAAAAGAACAAGAGCCAACAAAAAGGAGAATGCTTTGCAGAGAGCTTTCCCCCTCAGTGTAGCCCACATCTCAGGCCAATATGGCTAATATTAAGAGGGCACATCTCAGCCTGTATTGGAGAGGCTTTCAGACATTTAAGCTTTTCCTAAGAAAGGAGATATGGAGGGCATCTGTTATCTAATACAACTATAGAGTTACTGCAGTTAGTGCATCACGTGTCCTGGATGTGATCGGGTGAAGAAACTTGAATCTGGAAGCTCTTCCTTTGAGAGCTGGGCCCTCTGATATGAAAGTTTGAAAGGTTTGAGAAGGGTGAAGGTGAAAGTCAGTCTATGAAAAAAGAAGATGGTGTGCATTATAGAGTTGTTACTCTTTCCTGTCTTCTTTGAAATGTGGTGTCTTGAATATAAATCATTTAAAAGTTTGCCTAACTGAAGTGATTGCTAGGGATCTTGAATAGCAGCATTGTTAAGCATGTTTGAATACATCTCTGGAAAATGTGCAGATCCTGGTTGTGTTCTGTTTTGACATTCTCCCCCCCCCCACCCCAAGTTGTCAGAGTCTGTGAAATATTCTGTCTAACGAGAGTTTTGAAAGAGAACAGCTGGAACACCCAAACCAGAAGCATTCTGTTTTGGAAAGCACAGTATTAACTTTATTGGTATAATCAGAATTTGTAATAAATCACTATTAATAAGAAAAGGTTGAAGTGTGTATGTATTTCTGGAACATATAGATTCAAACGTAACCTAGCTATACATGCTAATTCTGAGGCATTAATTCTGTAGCTACATTGAACACACAATCCCTGAAAATTGAGACAGATTTCAGTAGAGATTGTAGACAGCATTTAAGACTGAAACAATTTTTTATCCTGGTGGGTGACAGCTTTTATTATCAACCTTTGGCCCATGAGAGTATTGTATTGCAATAGGTCTGTGATGCCAAGCCTAAATTAAAATGTTTCTGGGGAAAAAGTGTGAGATCTTACAAGATTCTTCTAAATCTTATGTTGTTCAATCTTTAAACTGCTGGATGAACATTACTGTATGGTTCTTTATGTACATAGAAAAGCACACTTTAACTTGTGGTTATGGGGGGAAGGTGTAAAAGGTCTAGTTACCTATGCCTGAGGAAATGTTTGTTAATATATTTATAGTTGATATATGAAAATGTGTATACATCAATGGCAGAAGAATTCATCCTTTTGAAAACTGAGCTGCTATGGAAGTTCCAAAGAATAAATTGAGTTTTTATTTTTAACTTGTTCAGTTAGAGAGATGTAAATTGGTCTTCCCCCTCCCCCCCACACTTGTGCTTAATATGCCTGTATGAGAAATCTGGTTTTGCAGCTGTAACAATGTCAGACACCATTTTGGAAGGATGGCCATAAATTAATTGTATTAAACGTTGGAGATAAATTTTCAGAAATAAATTTATGTCATGAGGTAGCTGTTGGCTATTGTAATACAGGTAGTCCTCGACTTACAACCACAACTGGAACAGGAATTTCCATCACTAAGCAATGTGGTCGTAAAACACAACATACATGACCTTAGTGACAGCAATCCCGGCAATTCCCCTTGCCATTGTTAAGCAAATTCCATCAGTTGTTAGCCAAGGCCCCACCCCAATCCAAGCCATTCTGGGCTTGGTTCTTTCCAGCCCTGAGCCTCAGTAAGGTAAGGAACTGTCTCCAACTTCCCCCACCATCTCTGCCCTTTTGGCCACCCTGCACCCTGCCTTGCCCAGCACCCTGCACCAGAACTGCATGGCCCAGCAGTGCAAAGCCGCAGCCATCCCAACCTCAGTCACCCTCACCACTCTGCACTCCAAGGCCCCTGCCGCCCTTTGCTCCACTGCCCCAGTTGACCGCCATCTTTTTGCTCCTGCTGCTGGCGAGGGGTGCCTGCCCTGGCCCTTCACAAGGCAGCTGCTGGCCATGTGAGGCTATCTTCCCCAGGTCTTAAGAGGAAACCCTCATGTGGCCAGAAGCTGTCTCATGAAGGGCCAGGCTGGGCTTGCTTGGTCAGCGGCGGGAGCAAGAAGATGGTGAAGGTCAGCTGGGGCAGTGGAATACATGGCGGCAGAGGTTCAAAAAGGCAGCATTGGGGGGGATTGAAGTGCCCCTGCAGTTGTAAATGCAGATGGGCTGCCAAATGCCCAAATTTTAATCATGTGACCACAGGGGCGCTGCAACGGCCATAACCTTGGGGACTGGTTGTAGGTCCTTTTGTTCAGCACTGCTGTAACTTCGAACAGTCACTGAATGAATGGTTGTAAGTTGAGGACTACCTGCACTTGCTTCACTTGGATTGTAAACATAATTCTATTTCTATTTCAGATGGAACAAATAAAAAGAGCAAATAAACTATTCACAAATGACTGCATATTTCTGAGAAAAACATTGAATATCCCAGTTATATTTGAAAGGGCTTTGCTGTTTAATGGATGTAACTCACTGGAGTCTCCAGAGAATGATACTGACAATCCTGTTTCTTGCGAAGAAAGACCTGTGACAGTTCAGGAAGACAGGTCTTCCCCCAGTCCTCAAGAATCTGACAATCAACTTCCTCCACTTGAAGAACTCTCTGCCAAAGATTTTCTGCACAGAATGGATGTGCAGATTAAGTTGTCCAAACAAGCAGCTAAGAAATTAAAATCTGAAGATAACAGGTAAAATCTTATTCTCCTGTTTATCCAAACACAGATTTGGAATTGATAATAACATTTAATATGTTTTTATTTTAAACTGCTGTAAGACTTTAATAAATGGTAATATAACTATTAATAAATAACAATTGTAATAGACAACAGTATATAAAACCATTTATAAGAAAGCTACTAAATTTCAACCATCATAACTGAAACATTATCCTAAAGCAAACATTTGGAATAGCTATATTACTCAAACATAATATTATCCATTGGTATGATAGCTGTATAAAGTTTAAATAATTTCTGCATGATAGGATTTTGCTTATGGGCCCAGTGGTATGTTGCTGCTCAGAAGGATAACAGTTCTGCAGCAGTGTTCAAATGGCTTAATTTGAGATAATCCTATTAAAATTGGATGAACTTCTGAGGAGTAAATTTTAAGCAACTGCATGTTTTCATAAGTTTCCTTTTTCTTCAGCAGGGAATATGGTGAGGAAAATTCCTATGCAATTTCTTCCTATCAGCAGTAGAAGATGAATAAGGAGCTGGAATGAAAACAGTTCTTAAAGAACTAAATATTTGAAGATTCAAAAGATCTTTTGGATTGATTTATTATGTTGTACTTGTTACAAGTCACATATAGATAATTCCACTGACTGTTGCACTAAAATTATTTGAATGTCTGCCTTCTATAGGTTAATATCCTTTTATTATTTAATAAAAGAAATGAACCTCCAAAAAATATTGCCTTTATATTTCTGATATAAAATGGCACACTAGCAACAATATATCCCTGAGAGAATTTAGATGCAGATTTTTTGGGAAATAGTATACTTGTATATAAGATAAAATTAGAGAAACATTAAAAAAAAAACAACCCATGAACTCTTGAGTTAGATAAGTTTGTCATGCAAATTTTGTGAACTTGATGCTGATGAATAAGGTGTGTGTTTATGCACACCTGTATATGACTCTCTGTGTTAATGTATTAAAAGATATGCTCTTAAAGTGAACCAATTTTAGCCAACTGTTTTAGGGGGAAAAAAGTTGGGATTTTAAAATATGTATGGTAAAATACTTTGTTTGGAAACTTTAAAAATCAAGGGACCAAACAGAGTAAATTGTATTTTTTCTTTGTGAAAAGGTGTTTGGAATATAGTTTCTTGTCAGCACATATATGTAGTTTCATGTATTGAATATAAAATGCACTTTAAAAAGTTATTGCCTTTGTTGTTTAGTGTATCTGATGCTTTGCAGCTACATTTCAGACATGTTTTTTGTTTCATATGCTGTATTAAAATTTCTTAAATTATACTGTCTTTGCTCCTTTTTCCAACTATTTTATCTTTAGTTGAAATCAGAATAGTTTGAATACACTTTGTCCCTATTTATATGTCTTGAAGTTCTCAGAATGAGAATATTAATATCCTAGCTGAGGAAGACAAGACCACAGGATGCATAACTTCATCCTGTTTTGGTAATGAGAATGAAACATTGCATGGGTGAAGAGCAGAGCTGTTCAGTCTAAAACCAACAACTTGCATGCCCTGTTTAAAGAAAAGTCTCCGCTGTGTGCAAATAAAATGGCTGGAGCTTTTAGTTTAGAGTTGAAGAAATCCCCAAAGGAAATAAGTGCTAAAATTGATAACAGTGAAAAAAAGGTACCCAGAAAGAAAACTTTCTTCAGAAATACTGGTGTCCATTGTTAGGGAAATGGATGAACAGTAGATTGAAGATATATAAAAGGATGTAGTTTTATATATCTTAAAATTTGAATTTTAAATCTTGGCCCACAACATATTTCCTATTTAATTATTTCTTCTTTTATTCAAGCACTATGAAGTGTGTTTCCACATGGATTGAAGCTTTCAAGTTCTTCCTGTAGATTTACTATCAGCTTTCCTTAGTTATTTTGAAAGAGGAGCCACTGGTACTCTTAAAATTTATCATGGGCTTACATCTCAGCATTGTGAAATTTGAAGGAGACTATCTTAGATCTCAGTGTGAGAATGATAATAACCTCTTTGATCTCTGGTTTAAAAACATCTTCATGTAGAATTATATCTTTATTGGGAATACAGTGAGTTTTTGTAATGACAAATCTCATTTTGAAAAAAATGTTATTTTCAATGATTATTTTAGAGAAATGGGCTCTTTTTAACATTTTTCAATTTCTAGGTATTATATTTCTGTTCTTAGTACTTGACCATAATTTACTGAACTCACCTGGAAAGTGTTACGAGTACATTTTGCACTACAAGATTTATCTCTCCTTGCAACATGCATTTTTGTAAACTTCAGTAGTAAGATCCCCAATTTAGGATCTTACTTTTAAAGTAGTAATTTAAAGTGGTAGCACATGAAGACAAAACCAAGAATCTGCATTACTTTGTCTTGTAGCAAAGCATTTAATAAAGTACAGTATCAGAAACAGGATTCTATTAGAAAAAGTGTATTTTGAATGCAATATATGTGGTAATTTGTTACATTTTTCCCAACAATAGTTTTAAACAGTAAAGACACATCAGAGCATCTAAAAGATGTTAAGGTTATTAAAAAAGATTGGTGAGATTAGAACTAGAGAAGTGTAGGATACTTTTATTTCCCATTGCTAGAAAATATCAAATGTGTCTAGCAATTGCTTTTATATGCTAAAATGGCAAAAATATCAAGTCAACACTATGCCTTTAAATATTAAGCTGCATTACTTGCACTGCTTCTTTTAAAAACTGATCACTCCATTCTACACAAGCCATTCATCCATGTGGGTGATGCACAAGGTTTTCTATTTTCTTTATCATCTCATATTACCAAATGCTGTATTTGATGCCACCTAGTATAGCAGTCAGTCTTCAATTCACAGAACAAAGCAGAGGAGAATTAACCTAAGTAATTTGCTGATTATTAAAAACATGGCATACTGAATCTGAATTATACATAATTAAAAAAAAAAACTACTAAAGGTTCACTAGCATAAGGACTGAATCATTTGCCAATTGTCCACAGCTCTATTTAATTAGTCCTGTTATCCTTCAGATATTTGTACATATATTTTAATTCTCCTTCTGATACATAAGCATGGGATTCTCTCAAGAGCACCAACAATATAGCACCTGTTTCCCCTTCTAAATTAGGGTGCTGAAATGGAAGAAAGCTTGGGAAAATAACCAAGACTGTGACAAGAATGTGCACTGATTCCCATAACTAAAAATAACTAAAACCAAGTATACACAGTGAACGCTTGCTAATTGTTTTCCTTCCAACTGCTGGTGCTACAACGGTCTAGTTGGTGAACCTGGATCTCTTCTCTTGTTGAAGTTTTCTACTGTATGCTAAGGCAAAAGTTGACCACGTGATTCTATATTAACATACTTCATCTTTGAGCAGGACTGAGGCTTTCCACTATGGATACAACTGACAAAAATATAAGTGTTTGTTATGAATGCAAGTTTTCCAAATGAAATGGTATCTTTATATGAAAATAATCATAAATGGAAATGGCTCATTATCAGAAATATTTTTCTATTAGTTTAGGAAATCTGGTGTCTTTGAGGCCTATGTCTATGTCCTAACTACAAACTTACTGGACTTTCAGTTTCTTGAAACTGTATTTGTTTTCTCTGACTAAAAACCATTGTCTGTGATACTCTCTTAGGAAACATGTGTATGTTTATGCATCTAGTTTATATCCTGCCTTTTACTCAACTGAACATTTAAAGTGGCGATCAAACATTAAAATTAAGAATATGGAATAATAAGTTTTTTTAAAAATTAACGTTAAAACTAACTAACAATCTCTGGTGAAGAAATATGTTATGGCTGCTCTTTTATGGTACAGAGAAAGACCAAACCTGAGGAAGTATAGTCTATAGCCTGGAAGTAATGCAAGGAAATGATTTTTCCTGTGTACTGAGATGTGTGCTGCTGAGAGCGAAGGCAGATCAGAGTCTCTCTTTCACATCTTAATATCCACACAGGTTTGAAAGGAAAGAGTTGGCATGTTGATGGTGAGTCCCTAGCCACTTAAAGTGGTAATGGTTAACATTTAAATGTTAAATTGTGCCCAGAAAGCAATCTGTAAGTAGTACAAATCTTTCAATACAGGCCTCATATAGTATCTGTACTTTGCACTGTTTAACATTAGCTGCCACATTTTGCACCAACTGCAACTTCCAGGCCCTTTTAAAGTGTAATCCCACATTAAGCATTTTGCTAATAGTTAAGGTGGAATATAACCAAGGTGCTGTGATTTGCCTAATGAGACATTTCCCCGTTCCTTTAGCTGTAAGATTCATACTCATGATTCTACGTCAGCTTTATCGTTCCATGTTCCTATTTTTAAATCCCTCTATGTCTTATTTCTGTATGACCTTATACATCACTCTTGTTTTCTCCACTATATATAAACTTGGCTACCATCATTAATTGTCTTTTGCATCCATTTTCATATCTTCTGCTGTCTTGACTTCAGTGTTTGGGGCACATTATACTCTTCCTTGTCATGTTTACCTTACAATTTTTCTCATGACTTGCTCCTTCAACAAGACTTTTTTTGGGTCCACTGAACCCTTAGCTACAGCTATCAGCCATCGCCACAGAGCTATTTCTCATAATTTCCATTTACCAGATGAAAGTCCTTTTTGAACAAGTTGAACTTGTACAATTTGTACAATGCCTAGCACAGTGTAAAAATGAACACATATGGGATTTCTTTTTTACTATAATTTCAGTGTCACACCGTCTGTGACTTTGGAGGGGGAAGTCTAAGAATTTGCCATATAGTTTTTTCTTTATTAGTTGATTAGTTTGAGAGCTGACTAGTTTTTATGCTGCTGACTTAAATTTATTTTAGATTTGTATTGATTTATGATTTCACTTGTGAACCATCTTGAGAGATCTTTTATCTTAAACTGATATTTATGTAACATATAAATAAGGAAATTACATGTAACATAAAATGGTCTCATGCAGTGGAAAAACCAGTGAAGGAAAAAATAATTGTTTGGTGTCCTGGAAAAATGACTTTTTGTGACAAAAACAGTGAGCAAAGTTCAGATCCTACAGAGCAAAATTGGATCAAATCCATTTATACCTTCCTGGCAGATAGAATAAAATGTAAAAAAAAATACAGATGGCTCTCAGTTTTCAGAGAGCCAGTAATATCTGGCAGTGACATCTATTTGGATAATTGGGTCACATTTGCAAAAGGATGGCTCCCCTTGGCGTCAGTTCACTGGTTTAATGCTCAGCTGAAACTAAGAACTAAAAAGCACTAGTGTATATTCCCAAAATGGCAAATTACATACGTTGGCTGTCACTGAACAAGACTTATAAACCATTGACGTGCATGGTTTTATCCTGTTTCTTTCAACGTTCAAGCCTGTGCATGTCCACTAAGAAGTATTCCCTGCTGAATAAGTATGCTTTGGAAAGCGTCCTTAATTTCTCTGCTGAACTCCTTCCCATCTCATATAAATGCAAATTCTTTTAATGACTCTTTAAAATGTAGTGAAGGATAAGAGACTAGGATGTTTACAGAGTGCATTAGGTTTCTCTGTTAGAGCTTTTACTCTCTGGATGGTGCTAAAACAATCATTTCTGAGTTAGCAGCAGCACAAGAAGTTAACCAAATCCTCTTCTGTATCTAAAACACCCATTTATGAAGGAGGCTGCCAACTGTAACTCTGTATGATTTGCAGTACTGGTCTTTCCTCATTCTTATCCAACTTTTCTGCCATGATCCTGCAGCAGAAAGATTGGGCCATTCAACCTGCCTCAGCCCTGCTCTTGATCTACCAGTGAAAGCCATGGTCTTTTCATGGATACTCTCATATTTTGGGCATTTCCTCCCACTGATACATAGCCTCATCAGTGCCAGCTTCCAGGAGGTCCATGAAGACAGTGAAATTTTACTCTGCACTTGCTAGTTTTAGTTTGAATTGCTTCTAAAGCATTTTACTGCTGCTGCTTATCCAGTTTATGGGGAAAAACAAAAAACAAGCAAACATATAGGTGGTCCTTGTTTAACAACCAATTGTTCAGTGACCATTCAAACTTGCAATGACACTGAACAAGTGGTACTTACGATCGGTCCTTGAAGTTCTGGCTGTTGCAGTGCTCCCATGGTCACATGATCATGATCCAGGGACGTGGCAACTGGCCTAGATTTCTGACCATCGCAGCATCCCTCAGTCACATGATTGCAATTTGCAACCTTCCCTGTTGGCTTCTCACAAGTAAAGTCAATGGGAAAGCCAGCAGGAAGTCGGAAGTCGGAGTCATGTGAGGTCCTCACTTAACAACCTGCACAGTTCTCGCTTAACAATGGTAACTGGGGACTGCTGGAACTGCTGGAACTGCTGTCGCTAAGTGGCACAGTCACCTGACTTCATGCTTTACGACCACATTGCTTAGCAGTGGAAATTACCATAATTAAGTGAGGGCTACTTGTACTGTTAATGCAGAGATTAAGCAGAATCAACTAATATTCTGATTGGAATGCTCGTTGCATGTTAATGTCATGAATTTGGGATTTCAAAACAAAAATAAGTCGATTATCATAAGGCAAACATAGGTTTCCTCATATAACATACAGAACAAGAACTTAAATGCAGGATGTGATCCTCTCAAGAGCTGTTCACTGTGCAAACAACATTTACCATGGGGGGGGGTCAATATTCTGTGAATGTAGCCATTCTAGTTTTTGAACTATGATTTATGCCTTAGTGCATTGATGAGCTCATCCAATTATGGCTTAATCAACAAACCACAGTTGATCAGATTGAACCAGCATTGCGGATTATGATTTATGGCTTAGCGTGTTGTGTTAACCCAATCAATTGTGCCTTAGATAAAAAAAATAATAAAATGTGAACCTAGCTTCTGTAAAAGTATACAGGTAGTCCCCAGTTTAAGAATGAGTTATGTTCCCAAGGTCTGTCCTTAAGTCGAATTTGTATGTAAGCCAGAACAGTATTATTGTACAATACTCTATTAAGTAGTATTGTGTAATTAACTTGAACCATTGTGTACTTAACTTGAATTTTGCTACAGTAAGTTCTGTTTTTAATTATGGGTCGTCCTTAAACCAGGTGTTCTTAACCCGGGGACTACCAGTATAAAGTATATAAAGTAAACTTAAGCATTTATGTATATACTTAAGTTTAAGTTTATACTTAACTTAAACTTAAGTATATACATAAATCCAGTATAAAATTCCCTTTATACTTAATTTGGATCTTCAGTGTTAATTCAGGCAAAATCAAAAGTTTACAGACACAAGACATTTATGAAACCCTGCGTTGCTAAACGATACTGCATTCCCCACAAGCCCCAGCACATCAATCATCTTCCATGTAAATGTCTGATCCTAAGCACACTTCTAAGCTCAAGTGCTTTGCTTCACCTCCTTTTTACCCTTAGAAATGAAGTTATTCACATATCATTAAGCTACTCACATCAAGAACTGTTCTTTATACATGCAGAGAAATAACACTTATTCAAGAACAATGAAGTATGTGAATGACAACAGTTGCTACTGTACCTGACCATAGCAATATTGTGACAATACAGTTCTTTCTCCCTGTAAGATCTATTTTAAAGGCTGATGCAGTGTTAAACACACAGCCATGACTTAATGGCACATGGATGGGGAGACAATGTAGAATGCGCAAACAGCAAGAAAACTAATACATTACAGCATTCCAACAGTACCTTCTGGGACATGAAACAATAGTTACCACAAAGGAGAATGCGAATGTGAGATTTCTTTGCAGAAATTTAGTTGAGTTAAATTCAGTTAATTAAGCTGAGTTGCCCCTAGTAATGCCCTTTACAGTTTTTTAGAACAGTATCTCTAAAAAGCCATGTCACAATGGAACAAGCTGGTAGATACTGGTGGGGTAGGGGAGAAGGCTGTTCTTCAAAACATATCATCTGAAAGAGCCACTTGATAAGCTAATGGGGGCACGATGTAAGCAATCATTATACCCTGTTATCTATAAAGTGGGCAGCAAGTTGGCTTTAAGTGGGTTGATCAAAGTTGAGAAAAAATGAATATGCAATTATTGGGTTTGTTTTTTTTAACCTGGATAAAATTCAGTACAATGGAGACAGAATACTTTCTAATCACCTTTTTTTCCTGGGGTGTGGTGGGGAGAAAGAAAGTTGTAGATCTTAGAACTAGATGTGGGTGAAGCTAGACTAGAATTCCATACAGTTTCAAGAGATGCCAGATTTTCTTTCCTTTACAGGCTGCCGTAGATACGCTTGATTACATCTGCCTCTTCTTTATCCAGGATACCCTTGTCCACATAAGCATCAGCTTGTTGATCTATGAAATCCCGCAGTTTAGAAAGGTCATAATCTGGAACACAAAGAAGGTGTTATACAGGCAGACTATATCAGATTCTCCTGGAAACATAATGTTTCTAGATGTATCTAGAGGAGCACCCAATTTTTGGGGGAGTCAAAGGCTGCACTTATACTTTGAATGGTATATTGTAGTCTACTTTTCCAAAGGGTAAGCAGGGTCTGAACAAAAATATGTAATTTTACATTTACACCTAATTAAAGTTGAATGAATTACAGCAATTATGGCTATTGTAATTATTAAACTACTCTGTGTAAGAATTTCCCGTTTGACCACATTAAGAATTAAAGTGTAATAACAATCCTGATATAGGTCTGGAAGCTGAACCCCAGATTGCAGGTTTGCACCCCTGCTTTAGAACCCCCCTTTGTATGGAGAGTTGTATTTGCATTCAAGGGATTTACAGGGAGAAGACCTCGTTCAATCCAGCAGGATCTGAAATAGGGAGATCAGGAATAATGCAGGCAGGGTGGCCCAGTCCCACACCTATTACTCAGGTTGGTCTACCTGAGCATCATGCCTGAATCTGGCTTTTCTATATTCTTATCACCCTGCTAGAAATGTTCAGCTGCGAAGATAAGAGAATAACAGCAGTAGTTCCATAGCATTTATTTTCTGTAACTGAAAAATAATGGTGTTAGTGTTCAGTTTATCTATCTGTACTGAACTTTCAGGGCAATCTTGATATCATTTACTTTATATTAATTTCAGGATGAGGAACTCTCAGATAAATGGAAGAAAGTATTTACGATACTGCATATTATGGGTAATTGGGTCAATATATTTAAGGATGCTGTGCTAATTAATAGGCAAAGCACATCATCAATTGCTGATAAATTCTGTAGAAAATGTAAGAGCTGGATTAGCAAAGAATCACTATATCTTCCCATCTGTGTCTTAACATTTACACCTAAGATGCATGGATGGGTTGCTCAGCTTTATTGATTCATAAATCAAACCCCAGTATAAAGGAGGGTGGTATTTTTTTTTAATGCAACATCTCTTGTCCCACTTCTTCCCCTATATAGAACTGCATTGATTCATCTTATCTTTCCATCTATCCATCCATGTCTCCGTGTATTCCATTTTAAGATTATGTGATCAAGTTTTTGTTTAACAGAATTCCAAAATGTGTGCCCAAGATCGGCCTTGTCCATACCACAGTCCTTTTCTCAGATCTTACCATCTTTCTTTCCCTGTGTATTATGTTTCTTCAGCCACTCTATATTCTTTCTGATGGCTTCCAAATATGCTTCTGCTTTCCCTTCAAAGGTAAAAAGAAATGGAGCTCCTTATTAACAAGTCTGGATAATCAATGGGATTAATCTCATCAAACTGATTCAGGCAAAGATTCGCCAGCTGAAGAAATTTATGTAGCTGGAAAGCCCTAAAAGTGGAAGGGTCTTTTTTCTGGCTCACTATAGCGCCCTTCCTTTGGCTGCGTTACAAAGAAGTTATGGGAAGATCCCGTCCCTGAAACATCTATGTCCCTGTGATGATGGGCAAATCAAAACTATTCAGCAAGTCCTCTGCTGTTCATTGATCAGAGACGTTTGCAGAACTCTTATTCTCCCATTGCTCATCAGGTTACCAGGCCATGAAGACCAATTTTACATCCCCAGCTCTGATGCAACACCCTTATAACATATGTTGCCCAGTTCTGCACAGATAGTAGGACTGTATAAGATGCCAGTCACATGAAGTGGTGAGTTTTCTACTGGAGGTCTTCAAGTTGAGGATGGATGGTCATTTGTCAAAGATTCTCTGGTGGATTGTGTAACTGAGCAGGGGGTTGGACTTTGTTGTTGTTCAGTCATTAAATCGTGTCCGACTCTTCGTGACCCCATGAACCATATCGCGCCAGGCCTTCCTGTCCTTCACTGCCTCCCTGAGTTGGGGGTTGAACTAGGTGATGTCTAAGGCCTTTTCCAACTCTTAAGAATTGCCCTTATGCTTTTTAGACACTCTGTTTTTATGTTAACAGCTGTCTCAGAGCCTCATAGCAGCTGTTATGTTAACATAGTCTCAGAGCCTATGTTTTTACCTTAAGCTGGTCTAAGACTGAAATAAAGATGTATTGAATATTTGGCCACAGTTTGGATTTAATCTGAACTACTATTGGCCTTAGTTTCATAAGACAGTTATCAATCTAACCTCACGGGATGGTGAGATTAAATGAGAATTGGGAGGACCATGTATGGGGTTTTGAACAATTTGGAAAAATGGTGGAAATGCACATTTTGGAGCAAAACTACATTTAATTATTTCCCTGGATTTGCTGCCTTTTCCAGTTGCTTGACTGATTATTTGTTGAGGATGGATGATTTCTTGTTTGTATTTATGTGGTATGTTTTAAATTCTAAGGAAAACTGAGTAATTTTCCTACAGGGTAGCCTGAGCAAAATTAGTTCAATGCTAACCTAATATGGTGTCTGGAGGAATATGATCGTTTAATTGATTCTGAATTCTTAACTTGGCTGAAGCATCACCAATTCAGCCTGCTCCTATTAGTTAAAAGGGACAAGAACTATTAGTTCCCTGGAAGATTCTTGCTGCCTGCTTTGCATACCTCATTCTAACAAGAATTAGTCATTTGAAAAACAGATGAATTAAGTACTAGCACTTAAAGTATACTTTTCAGAGGAGTATAGAAAATTAGCCTATTGTACAGAGAATAAAACATCTAAAGGGTCTTATTCACTCATAAGCTATTTGAAAATGGGCAGCATGATTTGAGAATAGGAGGACATTCCCTAACCCAGGAATAGTTTCCCCAATCTTTTTCTCTACATATATCAGATTATGTCTCCTATAACCCTCCCAAAGTCCCTGCTGGCTAGGAATTCTGAGGATTGCAGTACCAAGACATTTAGAAACTGGCATGTTGCAAAGGGCTTCCCTAGAGCTAATAATTACAGATCAAACTCTACAGGCTTGTAGCAATTTATGGTGTGTAAGGCAGCAGAAGTGCTCCTGTTGGGAGGGGATGTCAAGAGCTCCCATGGCATACATCCTCTGTATTTCATTCAGAGCCACTCAGGGGAAAATGTTCATCCTGGAAATGACGCTCAGCATTTTGATTGCTCTTATTTATATTTTAAGCAACATCTAACATTACAGGCCAATCAATATGCTCGACGCAGACTACTGAATTTGGTAACGATTTTATGTTTTGAAAAAGGATATATACAATTAGGTGAAAATCTCAGCCAAGAGTGGTGTATTGATCTCATTGTGTTTGGATTGCAAAACTAGCATTCGGGCTCCAGAGAAAAGAGAAAGGCCTTGCTTCTTCTAAATGTGGTAGATGAACTCTCGAAAAGCCTACTATGTGTACCAGAAGTTTGGCACTGTTTTCATTTCCTCTTATTTAGGGCTAAAAGCATGAATCCATTGCTCAGTGTAACAAGCATACGACTGCTTTCTTTTTCCTGTTCCAGGGACATCCCTTTCACGTGGCTATTTGCTCCTCACAAAGGCCTGGTGTCAGTTTGGTAGCTGCTAAGTAAGCATGAAAGCAACAATGAAGCTCAGCAAATACTGCAGTTAGTTGGGTTATAATCATACCATCAAGGCCAGAATTAAGAGATGGGGGTGTCCAATCTGCCCCACAGCCTCTGCCACCTGCCGCAATATCTTCCGATTATCTTGGGTTGACCTTATTTGGCAATCAACCATGCTAGTAACTAGGTTACTAGATAAAGGTTTGGAAGCAATACCATCATCTGACGTACATGTTCATCTACTTACCTTTGGGCTGTTGGTTGTTTCCTGTACTGTCTTCCTCAGCTTTTGTGGAATCTTTCAGGGCTTCATATTCTTTTTCCATTTCAGCCGTGGCTGTTTTTGTGCTGTCGGCTTCCTCGGTGCTCTTGTCTAGAGGGGTCACAAGCAGAACATCTCTTGAATCATCTGAACTGCAGCACATTCTCACGTACACTTCGGAATATTAACATCTTTTGATGCTGTAATGGTTGTGGCAAAACTGGATTCATACGAACAGGTTTCTAAATGGATTAGTTTGCTGTTTTAATTGCTGTTTAAACTGATTCAAAGAACTGCCAAATTATAATTCAGTTAAGTTTCTGGAAAAGTAACTGGAAAAGTGATACAATAATGAATGTCACAAAATTACCTGATAGCTTGTTCTGGGAATTGGATTTTTCAAGTTTCTTTCTTGTCTGCAGTGCTATCATGGCATCTAGATTTTCTGGAAAGCAGAACAAACACAAAAACCCTCATTCTTGAGTTGCAGTGTAGAATCAAGCATGTTTCGATGAGTTTGTCTCTGTTCTGGAAGGGATAATTAACTCTCCAACAACTGGTTTCTATAACATTGATGTGGGCAGACAGAGTTAAACCTTCTCCACTCTGGATTAGTTCTAGGAGTGTATTAACTGGCTCAGTAGCACATAACCCTGTTCTCCAACCTTGTTGAATATATTGTGCAAATGGGAACAAAAATCTATATATAGACTGCCCAATAGCTCTGCTGTAGCCATCAAAGATAATTATTTTAGGGAGCAATTCTGTATTCACTGTCACATGGGCGATGGGGCCATCTGAGGCAAGAGAAGCAGGACATTGCCAGCACAGGAGGAGATCTGTTAGCAGATTGGGCTCCTGCAGTCCCAGGCATGCCAGTGCAGAACTCTTCATTTGATTTCTATGTTACTGCACTGCCAAGTTTTGCATCCACCAAGGGTAGGAGTTTTTTTTTTAAAGTACAACCACCAACCAAGCAGAAACTGGAAACCCCAGTTTTGTTTTTGCTTGTTAACGTACACATACTTATTACAAGCCCATAACAATCTTTCCAGAGTCTTGACGCACATGCTTTGCAGTGTGCTCTCTAGCTTAAATCCCCTAGATTGCTTCTCAAATTGCCAAATAAATTCTCTTGGGCTAAATTTTGCCTAAAGAGTTTTTGCTGCTTTTCCGGGTAGAAAAAACTGAAAAAGGAAAAAAGGAGCCAAATAAAAAGGGGAATGCAAGTCACTGGCTGTTTTTAAATCAAAATGACATTAGTAGGTATCCCCTAGCTGCAGTATGGATATATGTATGCATAGTATTGGCTTTCAATTACTCTAATGGGGTAAGCCATTAAATGTCACTCACCAGGACAGTAGCTAAGCAACTAGTTGTCCTAATAGGGCTTTTATAAGATCAGATGTCACTGCTAGGCTGGTTGCCTTGGTAACTTTTTTTTTTTTTAAACTGAATAAGAAACTGAACTCGTGAGGGTGACAACCTTTCACCCATCCGGTCTATTTTTTTATTCTGCTGATTAAAACAAATGCCCCTAGAGCTAAACTGCTGGCAGTATCTTCCACAGTCCATCCTATAGTTTATAGAGAAGCCAGTTTTCTCTTGTTCATTTGGAAGTAAATCCCACTGTCTGGAATATGTCTGATTTCAGGTTGAATGAGCCCATCCTTCTGGATGACAGCTTTAACCAAAACAATGACTACAAAATCTTTCCTTCACTGAGTGGCAATTACTGAAAGGGAATTATTGAAAGGGAAGGAATTTCCTTCCAAGTAAATGGGTCCAAAGAATGCAGTTTTAATCTTCAAAGGGTTACTGGGACTAATTGGTAAGGATGACAGAATTTTATAGAATGTGTTAAGCAAGGCCAATCTATGTTGCAGTATGGAAACACAAACATTTTAAAAAAAAGATACATGTGCCTCTAAGCAATTTTGTAGGGACTCCCCGACAGTATAATAATAGAGGGGACGTTCACTCAAATGGCACCGCTAATCAGCAGAGTGCAGACAAAATAGTAGGTAAGCTATGATTTGCTATCTCATCTGCAACACTCAGTTCTTAAAATAAAAATCCATGGGATTCCTCAGGAAGAAAGAAAGAAAAAAGCCCCACACTGATGCACAGTCCTAGGCCTCTATCCATTGTAGGAAAACAAGAAATTAGCCAAGAGCTACAGAGCACATTTTCAGCATACAGTTGTTCACTGGTCAATGTAACTTAGAAACAAATAAAACCAGAGTTTCTGTAGAAATCAGTCATCTGATAAGGGGAAAAAGACCGACTACTCCCCCACCCCACCAGAAAGAGTTACATATCCAAGGATGAATTATTCTAATTATGATGAAGATAAGTCTATACCATCATATACATAATTTGGCAACTCAAGAATATTTACAGAATGATTATTTATTACTAATGTTGCTATGCCATATTACTTCTTACAGCCCCCAGCAGCATACCCAACCCCCCCCCCAGAGGATTATAAACAACCCAACAATAAGCAATAAACATTATTATGGCACTTACCAAGCAGGATAGATATCAAATCTAATATCCCCCCAAAACCTCTTTCCCAGAGCCAAGTTTTTATTTCTTTACAGAAACTAATTAGAGAAGAGACAATTCTTATATATGAGAACAAGTTGTTCCTTAAGAGGGGAGAATTAAAATATGCCAGCAACTAGATATCAAAGCACGCATAGATGAATTATTAAAATAATATAATAGATCATCATTATCTAAAACACTACTGGGAACAGCAACAACAAAACACACTTTCTTTGATTCAGTTGACTCAAACCAACAGCTGACCACAGAATGTTTTAGTACAACTATATTTATCCCTTATAAAAATAAAATAAAAATCCTGTCATCTATATCTCATCTCTTCTTGCTGAAGACTAAGTCACTGCCTGTTCCAACCACTACTTATTATGTGGTTAGAGTAGCAGACTAGAAATGATGCAGCTGGATCACTTTGAGCCAGGGCAATTCCTTAACTTGACAAATGGGGCAATTTTGTGTCTTAGCAAGTGACAGAAAATGGCTGCCCTTGACTGAGCTAAGAAGCAAAGATTGGGCCTGGTGCTATTTGGATATGACACCACTATCAAATACTAGGACTCTACCAAGAAGTTAAAAAACATCTTTGAAGCTGGATGGTAAGGAACAGTAGTGCTTGAGAAGCCATAAAATGATACCCTCAGTAATTTCATGAAGATGTTGAACAGCATGAGGGACAAGGTGGAACTCTATGCAAACATAAGCCAACATTTAGGTATTGCACAGTAGTCCCCTTGGGCCTTGAGGATACAGGATACAGCCCCCAAGGCCCAATCTCACTAGGCAATGGAGAAGGGTACCATGGTCAATGGTATCAAAAGCCAATAAGATGTCCAGGAAAACTGGTAGGGCCACATTGCTCTCTACTCAGAATCAGCAAAGCAACTAAAGTAGTTTCAGTACTTCATCTCACCCAAAAACCCAATTCTAACAGAGCTTCTGATATCATTCAAAAGGCAGCCTACACCTTCTCCATGGATGAGGCCTTGGCTGGAAACAATAAATTTGGTTTAGGGCCAGGAAAAAACTTCACAAAACTCTAGACTTCTTGCTTACATGAGTTTGCAATACATTGAAAGAAAGGTAATATGTACATACTTTGACACCTCTCGCTAAGGCCATACTGTCAGAGCTGGACAACCTGTGGACCAGATATGGCCCTCAACCTAGTTTCAAAATCCCTTTGCGAGTGATTAATTCAGAACTCTGTAATACTGGCAGCCAACTCCATGGAAAAAATGAGAAAGGATATCAGAAGGGAGAGAAAGGGGATGGCAAAAATAGAATGGGTGACTCTATTCCCTTTTGGCTTTGCCCCCTCCTCCCATTTATCTCAACCTCACCCACCAACCGGCATATGGTTCCCCACATTTTCCTCAAGGTAATGTAGGAGGCAAGATTTGCCTGCCTTGGTAAGGAAGAGCAAAACACGGGGGAAGATTAGATGCAGAGTAGCATCTGTTCATGTCCCTCCTCATCAAAACAAGTCCAAACTTACTTGCACGAAGGCTCAAGAATGTGATGGCTGAGTCATGTGTGACGGAGGAAGGTGTGAATTTGGGGACTGAGGCTGTCAGTGTGACAGCGAGTGGCTTTCCGCCCATGGACTGATAGTGGAAAATAGTTAACTCAAGCATTATTATTATTTTAATTGCTTACTAATAACCAGCAATTATTACAGCCAGTAATAATATAGTCCCTGTGCAAGGTTGGAAGGTAGCAACTCTGCAAAATAGAAGTTGTTTTGGACCCAGATGAGGGAATTTCATACTTTCCAGTAACACTCTTCCTGCCCCATAATGTGAGGGCCTGAAAGAAGAACTGGGAACGTTCACGGAAAAATTATTCTTATTCTAGTTTTGTTCTCCCATCTCCATTTTTTACCAGGTCTTTCCACTTTTCTCTAGTATTTGCCCCACATATCCACACACGCACTTCACACACACATACACACACATGCACTTCACAAATATGGCTGCAAAAATCTTTGAGACAGTTCAGACAGTTATTTTTCCCTTTTGCAGCCAAAATAATTGAAGCATATGTTATGTGCTGAAATCTGAACAGGGGATTTATCCTCACAACATACTTTGTGAAGTAATACAAACAGAGGGTACATAATTTTTTTGTTTCTCCGCATCTTTCTTGCATTAGGATGCTGAGAAATTCAAAAATTGGTACAGTTGCAGGACAGCAGCACCCTTGAGATATATTTTCTTTATCTGCAGCAAAATCCATGGATGTCTTTATTTGGATTTGCCTCCAGTGAGCACTACAAAATCACAGCTGGATTTACAGCAGCTGCCTTAAAATATCCTTGCTTGCTTTGAGTGCTAGAGCTTCAAGCTTAAATTGTAGATGAAAAAACAAAAAATCTTTTACTAACCAGGTCATTTTTTTTTTTCTTTCTGAGTTCCTTGTATGACAATCTGGTAGAACAATCTGGTAGATGGATCCTCCCTGCCCCCCGATGAAACAAGTGAGAGAGCTTTTCCCAAAGACAAAAAGAATGACGAAGGATAAGCCCTTCCATCGCTCCAATGGCTCCAACCCTCATCAAACCATTATATGCAATTTTTTAAAAAGCAGCATAATCCAAGACTTACACAGCAAAAATACTGTCTTTGCATATGACTGCTTCCAGTTGACAAAGCACAGTATAGGAAATAAACTGGGATTCCAAATGGAAAGGCCAAAGTGGAATTCAGAGCCAGAAGAATGCGATTTTATCTACCACCTCCAGTGTTCTGGGCTTGAATGCAAAGTCCTGCACTGCTCATCAAAACCTAATAACATCAATTACCAAGTGACATGCCAGACCTCTCTTTCTCTCCCCTCTCCCCACCAATCTAGCACAAGATGTAAAAAGAATGACATCATGCTTGGGGTCTTTCAAATCCCACACCAGCTGTTGCACGGATAATGCTTTTAAACTTCCTGCCTTCCTGAACTGTCATGCAAGAAACTCAGAAAGAAAAAAAATGACCTGGCTAGTAAAAGATTTATTGTTTTTCATCCATAATTTAAGCTTGAAGCTTTAGCACTCAAAGCAAACATGGGTATTTTAAAGCAGCCGCTCTAAATCCAGTCGTGCTTTTGTAATGCTGACTGGATGCAGATCCAAATGAAGACATCCATGGATTGTGCTGCAGGCGAAGTGGTTTGGGATGGTGGTGGTGGCTGCTTTTAAGACTACGGAGTCCTGATTGGTAGCGCATGTGCTGATTGTGGGTTCATGTCTTGGCCATCAAGGCAGGCGCACAATCCTCTCAATCAGGCTTCCCCAACTTGCTATCCTCCTGCTGTTCTGGAAGAACATAACTGGGAAGTCCCACCCAAATGGCAGAAAAGAGAGGCATCTGAAAGGGATATGTTCTGGGATTTAATATGAATTATTTTTCAGGCTGTTAAGCCTGTCTGAAATGGATTTTAGCAAAGAACCCACCTTTCTGGCTTTTCAAAAGGTACCCTTTTTATTTGCCATGTGTGGTGGGGAAAAGGTCATGGGCAGCAATGAGAGAATCTACTCCAGCAACCATTCAATGCTCCAGAAGTAACTGCACGTCTGCACGTCTTAAATCTTTTCACAGATTATAGCAACTTGGGCAATAAAACACATCACTTTTTAGCCCACTGTGGCTATATTAAGTTAATAATTTCATCATTTCTTAAGGCTCCAGAAGAACAGTGTTTTGAAGGTCAAAAATACAGAGCCGCTTCTCAGCAGTGATGCTAAATATAGTGCGACAGAGAAACCTTTGAGAAGAGTGCTTTCTGCTCCAGTTGGCTGCTTTTATGATAATGTTGCCAATGGAGCATCTCTAACTAGTAAAGTGGAACTGGCCCACAACTGTAACTGGGTTTTCCTGGGGCTGGTTCACTCTGGTTGCCCAGCACGGTGTTGAGTTCCCCTTCACTGGATGTGTTCAAGCAGAGGCTGAATAGACATTTCTTGGGGATGTGTTAGCAGACAGGAGCAACCAAATGTAGAAAACATGAGTCACCAGCAGCCTTTTTCATTTAAAGGAGAAACCCCAGTTATTGATAAGTCTCACTGGTTTGAAGGAGATTATCTCCTGATAATTGAGAGCCAGTTTGGAGTAGTGGTGAAGGCATCAGGCTAGAAACCAGGAGACCGTGAATTCTAGTCCTGCCTTGGCACAAAGCCAGCTGGGTGACTTTGGGCCAGTCACTTTCTCTCTGCCTGAGGAAGGAGGCAATGGCAAACCACTTCTGAAAAACCTTGCCAAGAAAACTACAGGGACTTGTCCAGGCAGTCTCTGAGAATCAGAGACGATTGAACAGATTAAAAAAAAAAAAGTCTCCTGTATAATTAGATTTTGACTTAATTTTTTAAATTCTTCACCACTTGGAAGAAAAATTCTGACCCCCCCCTTTTTTTTACTATTCTTTCTTGTTATCTCAAATACTTATTTAGGATAGAGACTCAAATGTCCTTTGTAATGAAGTAGTTGCTAAGGATATTTCCATCTCTCAAACATGTCAAGTTGCTGAAAGAGTTACAAGCCTGCTGAGATACTATGAGGAAATGTGGCATTCCATCCCCTTCTACCTATAAAGCAGCAGAGCTCTCAGCCAGGCTGCGTCACAGATAGAAACCTCCTAGTTTTGAAAAGCAGATTGTAATATGGGAGAGAGAGAGAGAGAGAGGAAAAAAAATGACTTGGTGTAAAGAAAATGTAACATCTGCTCTACATCGTAGAATCACGGCCACTATATGTTCCCATGCAAGCACTGTGGCGTAGATAATGGAGACAGCTATGGAGGCTGGCCATTTTCCAACAGAGGGTTTTCAAGCCTTCAGGCAAGATGAAGAATCAAACTGCGTGACTCTTTCTAGGGGGAATCACCCCAAATTAGGATTTATATTTGAGTAGACGTGCACTATAAAGCAAGATCTAGATGGCTACTTTTCGTAGGAAAGAGTTAGGGAGCAGGAGATACATAAATTATGATCTGATTTCTCTTAATAGTTTGCAAGGAGATGCATCACACACACACACACCCCATGTGATTTACAGCAAGGCTAAATTCTAGCCCTTCCTTTAAATCTGCATCTTTAAAAATAGCAACAATCAAGCCTCATTTGCATAAAGCAGTGTCCCAGGTTTTCAGTTCCTAATTCTAATATCCAGTTCCTCATTTTGAAACAGCTCAATAAATAAACTAAAGATAGACCTAAAGTTTATGTAACACGTCTTGTATAGCTAAGCCTAGAAATATTTCAGAACTTTGATTAGAGTACTCTGTAATCAAAAGTTAATATTTTTTGTGCAAAATACAATCATGGCATTAACAAATAAGGAATTGGGTTTCTGCATTCCACAACTAATTTCAGGGCTACAACAAACTAGATATCCATCTGTCTGAAGGAATGCCCTCAGTGAAAGGTCATTAAATCATTTACAGTCCAACATTTATTGAGCATATATGGCACTGTCAAGCTTAATGTGCCAGTTAACTCCACCCCATGTTAGATCCTTGAAACCAGGGTTCCTCAACCTCAGCAACTTTAAGATGAGTGGACTTCAACTCCCAGAATTCCCCAACCAGCCATGCTGGCTGGGGAATTCTG